CTCCGAGAGGCAGAAAGGAAAACAGGAGAGAACTTTCAAGCTTAGGCAAAAGATGGGGCGCTCCAGATGCTGGCGTATTGCCCTTCCTTGCTGAAATTGTCCTTAACTGGACTTGCTGTCGAAGGAGGTTGGCCTCCTGCAAGTAGTACAGCAGCCACTTGCCCGAGCAGTGGGGTGTGCTGTGCATAAATTGTTGCAGCCTGCCATTCAATCTAGTTTCTTCAGTGCTGTGTCATCCTTTTACCTTTGCCAAAGTCAAATACTGCGGGTGAATGGGCAAACAGACTTCTGCAAGGCCAGTGCTACAGACTCATCTAACTTTGTGATAGGATGTAACTTTGACATCTTCACAGGTGCTAAGGTTTATTTATTGGTTCCCTTTGCAGAGTCCCAGTCGTGAAGCTGCCTGTGCTCTACTGGGGACAAGTGGCACAACTTGTTAAAAGCAGACGTGGTTTTGGTAAGTAGCATACTGAGCTTCTCTCGAGGATACAGAGGAAAAAACTGAAAGCCTCCCTCGCTGGAGGAGGGTTAGAAGGAATCATATCTGAACCTAAAAATTTGGAAAGTGAGGAGCCTGGCTCTGTCACAGCAGAAACTGCTTGCTGTGTTGAACTGGGCAACGCTGCACTAAGCTATTGCAAAGAGTATGACTTATTTTTAATCCAGTGACTGCTATAACAGAAAGCGTTACAGAAAGCGTTACAGAAAGCGTTACAGAAAGCGTTACAGAAAGCGACTCCTTGGAGTATAGCATTATATATATCAAGGAGGGTTTTTTTTTTTCAGAGCTCTTATGGATGGAAACTATTGAAATGGTAACAGGAACTTACTTGCCTGTGATAGCTAGAGTTGTTGCATAACAGCAAAACTTGCTCTTATCCCTGCCCTCATCATATGAAGATGTATTCCAGAGAGGCAGGCAAAACTCTCATTTTTGGATAGCTTGCATTTATCCTTTTGTAATTATGTCTTACTGATGATTTTAATACCTTAAAAAGTCTTATTTATCTAAATAAAACTGCAGTTATGCTATTAATGCTTTTTTCCTGTATTTTATATTGTATAATAGCAAGTTGCAGGCACCCTTTTACCATTGTTTTGTTTCCTTCAGTGGTTAGAAATGAACTTACCTTGGCAGGAAACAATTAGCCAGGCTGGCAAAGAGACTGCTTAGCCCTCTCCTGCAAGGTGAGTTCAGCTGTGTGGTACAACTCCCTCAATATTTTCTCTCCCCTTGTATTACCACGGGGTACACATGTAGTAAATAACATGGTAGGTGAAACAACACCTGAACTTTGTCCTTGGGAACTTCCAATTCCAGGGACATGGAACGGAATTGATTGTTTGCAGGACTCCTCCTTAAAATAATACACAGTTTTTATAGTATTGAAGATAAACGAGGTATTTAAAAGCATATTAACTCTCTGTCCACTGTGATTGAGCCCAACTAGGAACCTGTATTTTTCAAATGAATTAAATCAACATTTCACTTGCTGTAAAATTGGTCTTTAAAAGAGAAGATGTGTTAAAGTTTGTGATGGTGCTGCTTTAACTGCTGGTTGGTAGCATCACAGAGCAGATTGCAGCTCCCTAACCTCTGCCTCCAGCTAAGCACAGCAGCTTGTCACGTGAGGAACTGCATCTGCCTCAGCCTCGAACTATCTACGCAGTGGTTTCTGAGACACAACAGGCAGCAGATTAGAGCTTGGACAACGAAAGAAACAGACTCCTATCAGGCAAGTTTGCTTTGTGCAGTTACTGAATGAAGCCTTGTGCTGGGCATAAAAGGAGCTGCTTTCCCCTCCTGCTCCCCTCCCGCCTCTGAGGGTGTGAGCATTGCGAGGAAAGCTAGACATGTTAATATCCCTATCAGAACTTAATGCTCTGGAGGGGAGTTAGGTGGAGAGGATTTAAACAGCACTTCACCATGTATGTGCAAGCAATGGTTGTCAGAAAAGCAAGAAAGCAGTCAGAAGATTGAGGGCAGCTTCATTTGCAGTCATTTAAGTGCCAACAATTATTAACTCAAGTACACTGGGCAAACTGTAAAACTTACTGCAGTGACTTGGAAAGTACTGTGCTCTGTAAATAATGAAATGAGCAACAGTCAAGAATTTAAACTACGGTTGATAACTTTGCTTTTAAGCTCAACTAGTAATCAATTTAGAACAATCTAGCTGTCTTGCATGCCTTGCTACCTATGAGTTTTAGAGCCCACCCCTTCCTCTGTGTAGGACAGTCACACAAATATTTGATTTAGCCCAAATGAAAAGGCAGAGGTAAGAAGGTGGGAACAGAGGTTAAATCCTGCAGGGGAAGATGCTGACCTAGGGAATTTCTCCCTACCTGCTTTAGGAGATGTTTGTCCTCCCTCTACTCCCATTCTCTCCTTCTTTCTACTAGACACTAACTCATCTGCTGGTGTCCCCTAACAGAAGAGGAAAGAAAATCTCCAGTTGTAGGACAGAAATATCTTAATGATAAAATACTAACTAAAAGCTGGGTGCCATTTAACAGACCTCCTTTAAAAAGTGCAAAAAAAAAAAAATAGGATAACTTATAAAAGAATATGGCTCCAAACTTAGATTAAAAAAAAATCCAAATCCGAACAGTCATTAAATAGTAGCAGAGATGGAGCTCTGGTAAAATACGTTGTTACATCAGCTGGGGCATAGAGCATTTGTATGGAATCTGAGGTTTAAATCTACCCTATTTATAGTTCTGGCTAAGGCTAAGGAGGACACCATATCTAATCTAAAATTTCTAATTGTTACCAGTCGTGCAGGGAGAAGGGATTAGGCAGCATACCTGTGTACCTCCCTGTGAAGCTTGTTTATGTCCTTGGCTGGAAAAGGCGGCAGCTTTCAGGTGTTGGCAATGCTGGGTTATAGATGCTATTAGTGATTCTTTGCCATATTAGATACTTTGAGCTGCATTATTTGTACAGAAGAGCAAGTGGAAATTGTTTTTATTAATGTTTTATTAATGGTAAACTTTGAAATTGGACATGCATAAGATTACTGTTGGAAAGTTTTGAATTATCCAGGTGTCTGTGTTGCTTTCAGAAATCTCACTGGCCTCTGGTCTGTAGGCATGGTCTGTAACTGTGTTAAGTTTCATCAGTGTATGCAGTTGATAGACATGGGTATAAAGCTCCTGCGTTTTTTATAAACCTCCATAGGGTTTCTTGTGCAGTGAAGGGAATCCTTCCTTTTACTCATTTACTACCAAATTATTGCAATAAAAATTTCACTGATGGCTTAGTTCCTCTCTGTGTTGGGTAAAACTACAAACACTAGCAGCGGGGTTTATGTTACAGGCTCGTTACCTATACTGTCTACTCTAATACGCTGGCATGCGCTGCAGCGTGCCATTATGCACAAAAGAAAGTTACTGTATTTTAGTAAAGCGATTTACAAACATTCCTCTAAAACACTGAAATGTTCTGATACAAAGCTAAAGGTATGAAAACATTTGTACATACGTTGTGGTTTCAGAAGCCCTTTGGTTGGACTTTCTGCCAGGAACACTAACTGCCACCCCTGAGTGCTGGCACTTCAGGCCTACAGACTCTTTTCTAAACAGGCAGTGATGTTTTTGTGAACTAGCGGAAAGAGGGAAGGAGCTTGTCACTGTGAACCTGGTTCTCATGAGTCAGCTGCTAGACCAGGGAAGTCCCGTCCTACCTGTGAAGCATCAGTTACCTGCAAATGGGATTGATTTCCTCTGTGAATATTTGCCTGCCATCAGGTTGCTGGATTGGAGCCCCTGTTTCCCCCAGTATATAAAGCAAATAAATAAGGCTTAACATGTTTGCCATGATTATGTTTTCAAAGGCTATTTACAAAAAAAAAAAATCTTTAACTTTGGCTGACCTTAGTACAAAGTCATTGGGTGAAGCTGTAGGGAACAGTTGGTTTCTCTGCAGCACAGTCTTTATTTTGGCTGGCCGTCTATTAACTCTGGTAAGTGGGTAAGCTCATGCCAAGCAAAGTCAGGCATATCATGAGATTCTGCTTTGCCTGTATAGAGAAAGTAGCCTCAGAAACAGCTTCATAGGCTAACAAACAAAAAAACATATACCAGAACTTGAGGCTGACCAATTCTGATTCTTGAGGAGTTTGACAGAAGGACCCTGTCAGGCGTTTCGTTCCTCACTCTCCCTTCTCTAGATCTAGGGTGGTCCTGCTTTGGTAAGAATGGTGCTCCAGCTCTGTCAGAACTGCCTTGAACACAGCAGTCCGCTGCTGCTTTCCCTAACCTCTCAAGGGAAAAAGTGAAAAGCAGCTCATTTCTCCTGAACCTTCTCATGACTGCATGCTCAAGCCTCCTTGAGCTACAGCAGAATGACACTGAGAATTAGTGTCACTCCTGCCCAAAGGGTGTACAACAGCCATGACACAAGGGTCTTGTTAGGTGGTGGTTGTCTGGTGCTTCTGTGGGGTGTTTTGGGGAGTTTATTTTTACTTTCCGTAGCAGCAGCAGTCACTGGAGTTAAACAGTATTTGTTTACAGATGCAGGAAAAGACCACTGCATCGTCAGTTTGGAAGAAACATTTTAACATTTTTTTTTTTTTTTTCTCCCCTAAGATGTTTACGTTCCTAGATGGCTTACATCACGTACTAGGAATTGCATTCAAAGGCAGCTTGAATTCAGGTCAAGCTTTGCCTGCTTGTAGTAGATGGATGTTACTGATAAAAACATTTTACGCACATGATGCAGAGATTTATTTAAAAAGTTGCTTCTACAAGCATCTGAATTTAGCTTTCCTTTGAGCTCACTGAGAACAGTATACTATTTATCGTGTTTATATGAAACACTATTTTGACAGATTTCTTCAGCAGTAAAGAAGCACAAAAGGAGCCATTCGTTCTCTGAAAATAATTGGACCCACTGGCAAGAAGCAGCTACACTGTGCATCAAACAAGGAGGCCATTTCCAGGTTATCACAACATGCTGTTGAACTGAATTTTGCAGCTGCATTTTCAAATGTACCATGGGATGCATCAAATCCAAGGATGCCTTTCCAGGTTCAAATGCTGTCCAGGATGAAAGGATCAGGGAAGGTAATGAAGGATGCACTGGGGAGAAATCATCACTGATAGCAGCAAAGGTGGATGAGAAAAGTCCATCAAGCACTATAGTGCTAGACTATGCACACCGTCTCTCCCGCGAGATTCTCGATCAGGCGGTGAAGCAGTGGGCAGTGACTGAAAGCAAATACAGTGACATCCCTTTTATTGAAAGTGATGTGCCCTGAGCCCTGGCAGGCGAGGACTGTCCTCACAGTGAGTGTCCTGTCCGTTACGCAGTTTGTATTTGGTACTAGTGCAAATAAAGTAAAATCAGCTGTGATTTGAGCATAATGCCACTATGTGAATGTGTTTGCAAGGAGAGGCTGAAAAAAATTGCCTTTTAATCTATATTGCTAAGAAACTAATTGGATTACAGTAGGATCTATTAATCAAGTATCATTTGTTATCAGCCATATGTTGAGTATATTCTTTGTATGTGTTGAATGTGATCAGAAATTAGTGTTAAAAAACAGGAGAAGAATGTGGCTGCCCTGCAACTGTACAAGCACTGCCAGAGAGGCCCCAAAGATGCTTAACAACAAAGCGTGGATTATTTTTATGCTCTGCGTAAAAAAGCAGTGGCGTTTGTAGGTGAGAAGAGAAGAACTCTCTGTGCTTGGTAAATTTGTCCGCGTTTTGCTAAAATGAAACCAAGGTCTGCATGTAGCAAAGATAACTGCTGTCATAAATTTTACTTTGATTCTTTGACCTGACTAAATCTGCAAACCACAAAATAACAGAGGTGATGAGAAGCATTTTATAAAACCAAGCAGTATTCAGGGAACCACATGGATTATGATGCTATTCAACTTCCACCCTTAAGTGAACCAGTGAGAACCATTACAATATCGATAAGCAGTGCATTATAATTAACAGAGGCTCTGGCTTCCGTAAATGCATGAAGGATATTCTCTGAAATCCTGCAATAAGATGGTTTAATGACATCTGATCACTGTGTTCAGACCAAAGCTGTTCAGTTTTTTGTTTGGCGTTTTGTTTTGGGGGTTTTTTGTGTTAGGGTGCTGGTTTTGAGGGGGTTTTGTTTTGGTTTTTTACACCCAGATAGGTGTGCAAAAACTACTGATGCTAACTGAAATGAACCCTCTAAGGTGTAACAATGTGTTAGGACTGTTTGTTTCATGGGAACTACGGCTGCATTACACTGAAATTTCACTCTGAAGTAACAACCCTGGGACAGTCCACCTGCCTTCTGCTTCTATAGGCTCATCGCTTACCACTGGTAATGCTGTGTTGGTGACGCAAATAGGAGCTATGGAAACCTGAAGCCTGAGCGGCACATGGAGTTAGGGACTAAGCCTTAGGCCCAAAGCTCAAGGGCTACATTCTTGACCGATTTTTATCTAGCTCGCATCCACACGCTGCACCCTGCTTCCCCAGGACTTGCAGCCTGGCCTGCTGTGCTCATAACTAGCATTTGAGATGTCAAGAAGGGGATGAATTACTCGTAGTCATCTTGAAGCTACAGTTTTGCCGACATTTTATGCAAAGCGGATGCCTTGTAAAAGCTTGGGGGTTTAGCACCTGTTTGTTCCTTTTACTGTTCTGGCCAGTTTAAAAGACATGGGTGTTTTTACTAGTTCAAAGTGCTTTCCATTTTATGTTTTCATTTTGTAGAATAATGCATACTGGCAAAAACTGTTACTATTTTTCAAATGTAAATGTAGTTCTAGTAAATGATATAAAGCATGATTTTTCAAGCAATGGGAGGCAAGCAGAAAGAGGACCATGTAAGTTGTTATTTTTAACTTATTCTCAAACATAAGTCAGTCTATGAATTGAGTGGTTTGCAAGCTTTGTGACACAAACTTAGTTATTTGAAATTCACTTATATGGGAAAGTGGTTGTATCAAGAGAAAATGGTGAAAAATGCTTCTTTGTAGCACAGCGCGAGACTGCCATTAATTCACGGCGACCCGCCTAGACCCTGCTATTAGACTCTTCCCAGGCTTTTGGTGAAAAAGGGAAAAAACCTGCTTATGTTGTAATTTCTTCTTTGAAGTAACATAGTCTTTGAAGCCATAGGTAAAGTGGGACTAAGGTATTACAGCCTGTTTAAATTCTACTGCTAACAGTGATGTCCCTTGAAGCTCTAAAGCATGCAAAACAGTAGATCATATCCTACATTTGCTCTGTCTAAAAAACCTCCACACCATATACTAGAGTGAATTAAAAAGCAAAACCAAAACCCTGATCAGATCTGTACATATTAATTGGATATTGCTTAACCACAGTATTAAAAAAAGATTCCTATTCTTATTATAGCTACAACAAAGCTTTATTATAAAAAAGCGCCAACCTTTCTGTAGCATTAGACTTGACTCAAGAATGTTAACTCTGCCAAAGACAGTAATTTAGGGGGAAAAAAAAAGAAAAAAGCCCAAGCTCTGTAGACAGTTCTTTGGATGTAGCCTTAGCATCCGATACTCTTCTGGAGTCAGGATATCAGATGCGCTTTTGAAAGGAGCTCCCCCCTTGGCAGGCTGCCACTGCACGGTCCAACAGCAGGCGCAATTATAAAATAATATGAAACAGCCTAAAGTTACATCAAGGCATCTGTACTGATAAATACTCCAAACCTCTCCAAAGGAGAAAGTTACCCAGGTATAATGAAACGTGCATCACGGTGAGCTTCCGTGTGGAGTAGCGGCACTGCTCGCTCAGCGAGCCACCCGGAATGTGACAGCGACTGAATCGCCTGCTTCTTGGCAGCTCCAGCCAGTCACTTACCTGCAGCCACAGAGCTCGTCTTCCCTCATTAGTCCTTGAAGATTACAGCAGCTTCAACATGGCCTGAAGTGCAATTCCAGCTGGTTTATGGTGCTTTCTATGACATTGGCTCTTCAGGGAAAGCACGCAGCAAATGGAAAACGAACAAGCTTGCCAACAACAGGGAGACAGCTTCTCACCAGGAAAATGATCTCTTTTACAAGACACTGTCCTTAATAAATAATGCACTTACCCTCAATAAAACAAAACAAAACAAAAGTCTGTTCAATACTACAGTCTGGTGAGAGATCAAAGATCTCTTTCCAGAATTCTGCTGTATTTTTAATAAGCACAATACTAATACA